TAACGGATGGGGCAGCCCCTCTCAGCCCTGACGGCTGACAAGCCACACAAAGGACCATTACCCAGGAGTCACCTGGACCTGCAGCAGACTTTGCTTGCGCAGGAAATACACCTTTTTGTGTTAAGCTACCGAGATTTTAGTGATGTCACTACAACATAAACTTAGCCTACCCTGATAGGAAGGGATTGCTTTTCTTGCAAATGAATAGTGTCTTCACTGTGCCTGTGTTATGGGGTTCAGGATCTTTGAAAATTCACTTTGGGCAGCAGAGTGAGAAAAACTGCAGGCTCTGAAGTCAGAAAGCTTGGGCCCGAATCCCTTTTAACCTCAGAGGAAGGAACTCAGGCACATCACTTATTTTCTGGGCCTGAGTTTCTTTATCTGTGAAGTGGCAACAAAATTAATAATGCTACTTCTCATCACTGTTAGAAAGACTTGAGTATTAACATACGTAAAACACTTAGAATAGCCTGGTACGTGTAACTGAACAGTAAATTGTTAGCACTATTACTTACTATCAAGGCAATCACTACATTCTTCTGTGGATAAGCATTTTGCTTTAACAGATCTTGAATCAAGAAAAAAAAAGTATATATGTTTAAGAATAATGGAACGACCCTTATTATTCAAAAATGGAGAAATAATCTCTCTTAGCAACTCCCGTCAGCAGAGAAGGCACAGCTCACAGAATCTCATAAGCCCACTGCCCTCAACTGCAGTTATCACATTCAATGGAATGAAAAGGAGACAACGTATCTCTAAAACAGAAGGCAACATTGTTCAGTAGTCATAATCAGCGCTATCTACATAAAGGTCTCCACTGAATAATTGCAATATATTTTTAGAAAGCAAGGGCTTCTCCACTGCCATGTCATGCTTCGAGTTTCACTGTGAAGTTTTATTTTAACCACTAAATTTGTCTTGCATCTCTACTTACCAAGGCTCTCTTCCTGAAAGGTGTCTCAACTACATGAAAAGTTGACCCAACTGATTCAGTTTTTCAGAAAAGTTGACCCAACTGATTCAATTCTTAATAATATAATTGTATAAGCATAATATAACCCTTTAACCACTGTGTGGCCTTGTACCATTTCAAAGTAAAAATCCTGGATAACTTTTATTGGGTACTTGCTCTCCTGCTAAGCCCTTTAGAAACATCTATTATCGAATAATGCTGCTTCTCATCACTGTTAGAAAGACTTGAGTATTAACATACGTAAAACACTTAGAATAGCCTGGCACATGTAACTGAACAGTAAATTGTTAGCACTATTACTTACTATCAAGGCAATCACTACATTCTTCTGTGGATAAGCATTTTGCTTTAACAGATCTTGAATCAAGAAAAAAAAAGTATATATGTTTAAGAATAATGGAACGACCCTTATTATTCAAAAATGGAGAAATAATCTCTCTTAGCAACTCCCGTCAGCAGAGAAGGCACAGCTCACAGAATCTCATAAGCCCACTGCCCTCAACTGCAGTTATCACATTCAATGGAATGAAAAGGAGACAACGTATCTCTAAAACAGAAGGCAACATTGTTCAGTAGTCATAATCAGCGCTATCTACATAAAGGTCTCCACTGAATAATTGCAATATATTTTTAGAAAGCAAGGGCTTCTCCACTGCCATGTCATGCTTCGAGTTTCACTGTGAAGTTTTATTTTAACCACTAAATTTGTCTTGCATCTCTACTTACCAAGGCTCTCTTCCTGAAAGGTGTCTCAACTACATGAAAAGTTGACCCAACTGATTCAGTTTTTCAGAAAAGTTGACCCAACTGATTCAATTCTTAATAATATAATTGTATAAGCATAATATAACCCTTTAACCACCGTGTGGCCTTGTACCATTTCAAAGTAAAAATCCTGGATAACTTTTACTGGGTACTTGCTCTCCTGCTAAGCCCTTTAGAAACATCTATTATCTAATTTAGTCTTCACAGCAACCACAAGTAGTAGGTGCTCTTTTTAGTCCCATTTTACAGATGAGAGTGCCATGGCTTAGAAAGGGTTTTAGAAAGTTTTAGAAGGGTTTAGTAGTTCAGTAAGGGCATTAGAATTAGTAACAGTCTGAATTCAACTATTCAGCTATTCAGCTTTAAAGCCTGCTTTTATTAGAGCATAAGCTTGTGTTGAGTGCCTGGGCATAAACTTCAGCTCCACCACTGATGACCAGCTGTGTGACAGTAGGCCAAGACTTCAACCTCTGTGTGCCTTGGCCTCATCTATAAACTCATGGGTTATGAGGAACAAATGAGTTAAATGATGTAAAATGCTTACAACAGGGACTGGAACTATAGTAGAGTAAGGACAGTGTTAGCTACCAGTTGCTGTTGCCCCAAATTGACAATTAGTCAAATAAACTAATTATATGCTGGTAGTTCTTGTAAAGGTTTTGGTGACAAATGAGGGCACATCACTTGGTTCTAAGAGTTGTTTTCCAGGAATATAGTATTTCAAAAACTGTTGACTGCCTAGAAGTAAATATGCATTAACTACACTTCCTAACCAGCCTAAATGTCTCACACCCCACTTAACTATATATATAGAGTTGATAGTAGTCATTTCACCAGTTTTAGTGAATGTCGAATTGTCTTCTTATATTGCTTATCAGCTCAATTAGTCTCAATTTCTTTGTATGATTATTAGTTTTGAATCTGGGCTTAATGTTTAAACACCGGGGACAGAGAAATTAGTGATAAATTTCAGGGCTAGTATCACTGAAGTGATGGGGAACAAAGATGCAAATGAGAAAAAGTGGCAAAGGTTGATGAAGTAGAGATAGCTTCTCTGAGAGGTCCATTAAATATGCCATCTAGATCAGTATTTCTCAGCTATCTGCACCAGAATCACATGGGGTGGTTGCTAAAACTGTAAATTCCTGAGTCCAATTCCAGACCTACTGAATCAGACTACCTGGTGGCTGTTCAAGGACTCATGTTTAACAGGCTCTCCAGGTGCTTTGTACGAATTCTAAAGTTTGAGAACTCCTTGTCAAGTTTAAAACATAAACCAGTGGCTGAGAAATCTCAGGATGCTTTTCAAATGTTTTTAGGGAATGAAAAAAGAACACTAATTGAATGACTCAGTGACAGGTGAAGCTGTCTATGCGTGCGACACTCTGTCTTCACATTAGAGTTATGTGTGGCTGCTAACTATCTTCTGTGGACTACCATTCTTCTATGGGGAGAAATACTTGGTGGTTATTAACATGGAAAAGTGTCTAATCCTATAGCTTCCTTGCAAAATGTCAAATGCAGGGAAAACTTACAGTCTTTGTTTCAGTCTCCCTTCTCAGTATCTTACACAGTAATCTCACCTTCTGAAACTTTGCTGCCCGAGCACTGCTAGAAGAAAAGGATAAGAGGCTCTGAGTGATGACAAATAGATGACACAAAGTCTGAATCTTTCAGGGCCCCAGTTCAGAACCTTTTTTGTTCACCATTTTGATATGCTTATTTATTTTGAATGATTATTTAGAGGAAGAGAAAGGTTTACAGGTAGTTCATAAACAATAGCAAGAAGTGACATTAGAAAAAAAAGAAGATACAGAAAAATTTTAAAAATAATTCAAGAAGATAAAGGAACAGAGGTGGCAGGTCATTTGGTATAGAAGCAAACATTCCTTTTGTATGAATGTGTCCCCCCAAGCAGATCACTATATTATAGTGCAGTAATCCATAGGTATAAATGATGAATCTTTAGGTGTTGACAGCAAAGTTTATGGTTTGAAATATATTCTGGAAACATTCTATTTAAAATAAAAATTAAACCTCACAATCTTTTTTAAGAGGTGCACTCTCAACTATGTGAGAAACAGAGTTAGACAGCTGTCTAACTAAAACGTCCTACTTCAGGTGGTGGCAGATGCCCAAAGTTTTTGCTGTAATGGGGAGTCAATATTAAAATGTGGCTTTTGCAATGAACCACACGATTGAAGTCTCAAATATCATCAATGTACTTGTCTCCAATTACTCAATGATACACATTTTAAGAGCTACGTACTATATTTTCATCAGTATAAAGGAAGTTTGGTGATGAAATAGAAATGAGAGTCCCAGAAAATTAGAAATGAGAGTCCCAGAAAATTAAGCAGAAGACACAATGGAAATGTCATATATGTCTCTTCTTTAATCCCATCGAGCAGTTTCCATGGACACACCTGTTTACGTCTGGGAGTGTTTATGGAAAGCGGATGTTCTATCTTTGCTTCCGGTCTGGAGTGTGGCATGCAGGTATGTAACAGATGGCTGGCTCACCTGGGTCATCCGTACTAAGCAGGCAACTTTCCCTATTCACTGGCAAAAAAAGAAAAGCTCTAATATTTTAGAATGGTTTGTAATTTATGATTCCCAGTAGGAAAACTAGGATTTCAATAGCTGAATATTGGGGGGTTTTGCCTTCAAAGAATCCTGGTAGATACTGAAATGTTTCTGAGAAGAATTTTGGCACAGGAATACACTCTGGACCCCACCAGGCAGCTGGGTTACTGGCAGCACTTGTTTTATCAAAGTATTTTATCTGGGTTTGACACAAACCAGCTTGCCACAGGTGACCAAGTTTAAGAGATGATTCTTTTCTGGTCATTTTATTCTGAAAAGTAAATAGAATGTCCAAGATGGTTTGTGAGGATCTTTAGAAATATGGATATTATTCAGAATCTCCTTCTGGAGTATCCTAAGAAACCAAATCAGTTTCCTGGGAGCTGCAAGCCTGAGGTAGCAGGTCTGCCGAGGCTTTCCAGTAAGATTGAAGGGCCTCTGCAGTTCTAAGATACTGTTTTGACTTGGGGAAAATATGGCCCAGCAGCATACTGTGGCAAATAGATATAAACAGGTGACATTAAATCCTTTCCATCAAATAACATACCATTTGAGATAATAATCTATAATATATAAACATTAACCTTTAGGTCTGAATATCCCCAGTCAACCGCCCTAACTTGTAGTTTGTTATAATTCGTATTAGGTTAAAAAGGAAACACACACAAAGAAGTCTGTTTTAACCTGAAATAATTTTGTTGATATTTGAATTGCTTTCAGTGGGACATTTGCTTTAAACCACAGGGTTCTCCATCTGGATTATCAGAGTACAAAATCTCTTCTCTTCCCCCACCCCCAGCCAAAACAAAGAAACAAACAAAACCCCCAAACCCACACTCAGCTTCAAATAAGTTTTGAAGAAATGAGACTCTAAATATTTACATATGGGTCAAGAAATAAATCACAAAACTATTTACAAAAATACACAAGCTTATATGCATTAACAATTTACACCAGTTCACAAAAATATTAAAACATAAAAAACCACTATATAAATTAAAATTAAGAACTCAAAAAGTATGATCTAAGACTTCCTAGGATGCTTCTCTCATGCAGGTCATGGTTGAAAATTCAGATTTTGCTACCTTAGAATCTAAACTGTAAAACATTTTTATTCTTTGAACACTAACAGTACTAATCAGAAAAGGAAAAAAGACCCTCTGTGCACACTGACATTATCTTGCACACAGTTAAAATATACCATTCCTGACATTTCCGTAACACACAGTACTGAAAATCACATGCTCTAACCATTTGGAAGTAACTTTCTGATATACTCTTGCTTTCATTATCATTTCCTTCACACACTGCTTAGAAGATTCTTTTCCAACACATTTGCGGAGGGTGGTGGGGGGGCGGGGGTGGCGTGACTGACAGGGCGGGGAACAGACATATGAACTTTGCCAGCTCCTTAACTAAAGGGGCAAATTGCAAATTTACATTGTATGCATCTATTGCTGCTTCAAATGTGTTAACCTACTCTCTATCCCCACTTACATTAATGGTTCCGCTTCTTTACAGAATTAGTTCTAGAATTTTTCAACCTGACCCTAACTTCTAAAAAATGCTTTGCCATTATAAAAATGTTCAGGCCCTATCCTTGGGACCATCCCAGGGATTGCATGTTTAAAAGAAAACTGAATACAGTAAGCAATAAGGCTCAGATGAAATTTAGTAAAAAAAAAAAAAAAGAAAATGAAACCTCTGGGGCTGTTAGCAAAGTCTCTGGCCAGACATCCAGGGAATATTTATTTCAATCAAACTATGGCATCAGAATTTTGCCAAAAAGATGAGATCTGGAGACATGAATATGAAAATACTAATAAAATTATGGGTTTAATGCATAAGGCAGCTCCATTTCCTTGATCATAATGCTCCATGTCAGAATTTGAAATAGTAACATTTAATTAACCTATCTGTGAAGTCACACACAAGGTGAACTATGCTGAGGTAACCTGGCTCACAGTGATTTGCCATCCAATTTCTACCCTACAAGATTAGAAAGGGAAAGATACAGGCAAAGTCCTTCAAATAACTGAATCCAAAGTTAAGGCTGTATCTACATACATTAAGTGAAACAACTCTAGATTTTGCTGAAAGTTTGTGTTTCACACTTATACCAGAAATTTGAGTCCCTATTCTGTATTCAAAATACGTACCTGATATTTCTAAGCCCATAGGATATTAATAAAGTGATTGCTTTGAGGAATTAACCTTAGTATTTATAAAATAGACTTCAATTTCAGGAGTAAACAATGTGTGTGACAACAAATCCACAAATATTAAAATTGGACAGGACTTCTTCAGCCACATCCTTCTGTTTCTTTTTAATTAAAAAAAAAAAAAAAGCTGCTTTAGAACAGTGTGAAATGTTTTACTAGAATTACTAGTTACCAAATACCATTGAGAAAAAAATCTGTTACTAAAGCCATCTGTACGTCCTTGTCACACCAGCTCCTCTTTGTAATCACCATGCTGCTGGTGAGAACTTACAGGGCTTGTGTGATCCCAAAGGGGCCATGAGTTGCCTACTTGAGAAAAAGATGGTTAAGGTAAAAAAAATTAGTGCTGTGTATTCACCGAAGACCAAACTCCTGCGAACAGCACCTGATGTTTGTGTGCTAAGTGGAGGATTCCTACCTCGTTTCCCAACATTGCGAACATATGCTAGTAGGGTCTGCACTTTTAATGGAGAGGCCTAAATTTCCACAGACCTTTTCACATATAGGTATTTTAGATTTCTACCATGATGTTTATTGACCCCCTCTGATCAATTCTGGGGGAACAACAACAACAAAAGACCTTATAGAGTATTTCCACATATAAATACATGTGTTGTTCTTAAAACTTTCTTTTCCTAAATATAAACCCTTAAAATGCAATCACTTTTTTTTAAAATAAAAAAACTGGCATGACTCCTAATCTTTATACAATTTCACAGCAATAATAGCAGCATAAATTTAGCCTCTTAAAAGATTTCTTCCTTTGCTCTAAATAGAAGTTAATTCCAAGTTTTAAAAAACCAGAGCAGCGACCATCCAGTAAATGGAATGAAATTCTCCTAGGGTCTTCTACAAACTGAGCATTTAAAACATGTGCATGTATAAAAATCAAGTATTATTAAGAGTTATGGAATGAAATGACAGTCTAAACTCGTTTTGTAGATAAAGGACTGCCTTGCTAGTCTGGCATATATGTTATGGGGTGAGTTGAGAAAATGGAATGGATTAGGCTAGAGGCATCTGCTCCAACTCTAATCAGGAATGCAACTTTCAAAGGAAAGTCCTGGGTACTGAACATGTTTAACATGTCTACAGAGTTATACGAACTATATACTTGAACTGCTGGTGTAGATGGCAATTACAGTAGACTGCGATTGCAGACGTAGAGTGAACAAACAGCACGCTGAGTCCTCAGGACGGAAATGGTAACCGTGCGGAATTCCAACGGGTGAAATGGGGCTGTGTCCTAAGCGGTTATTGCAGGAAATTTCAGTTTTACTAACAGGTAGCTACTTTAAGAATTCCCAAGAAACCTGTGCTCTGGTTTAAAAACAGAAATTAACATGTAGGTTTGTAATCATGATAAATTATGTGTGTTTATCCAGTCACACCATGCTGGGGTTTTTAAAATGAAAAACTTTGCTTTAGTAGAACACACGGTATGAAATGTTTTTACTAGGATTACAATTTACCAAATATTATTTAGGAAAGAAATAGCTGAAAGCAGGCAACACATTAGAAGCGTTGATACGGTTTTCTGGTGCTAAGAGTGTTCACTAACTTCCACCTGAGAAATGCCTGTAATTCTAACTTTTAACAATCCTTTCCACAGTGATGCGAGCCTGTTCACTGAACCGTGAGAAACAGCTAAGAAAAATAAGAATGTGAAGACCATGGCTCAGCCGGGGTATAAGTGGTCTGACATTTTATGATGACCCCTTATAAAATTCTTAGTCTTAATTCCCTCATTTTTTAGTTATAATTTGCTAAATGTCCCATAGACTTATCTGAAGGATCAGGGAGAAGTTTTTCTCAGACCTAATTTATAATTTAACACACAGACCCTTCTAAGACAAGGAGAATGACGTGAGAAAAACTGAGTGTCAGTCTGGGCAAGTGTCATAGGTATTGAAAAAGTCAGTAGGAATGCAACAGAAAACGCAAAAGCCTCCCAAGAAAAAGATATAAACTGCTCTGAACTATACAGCAAATACTAAGAAGGACAAAGTCAAATTCAAATTCAGGTAAAGGCAGTCCTCAGGCTCTTACAAATTAGCTCTATATGGCAAGTATGCTCTGTGACAAATTTCTTTACTAGGTTTTCAGCACAGTGCTTTATAATCATTCAGATCTCTTTTAATGACAAAAATGACAGTTTATAGTTGGAAGAGGTGGTAATAAGACAGGAAGGGAAAAAAGATGGTGACTTATTTTTCTTCTTCTTATTTTTTTTTAATGTGGTCGGGGGATTTGTAGCTTTTTTTCCTTTTTCTTTTTGTAATCTTTTTGGTTACTGAAAAAAATAGAACAGTCCACTGTCCAGCAGAGGCTGCTTCAACTCTATTGCTCGCAGGGCTCATTCTGCATGGATCTGTGTTTCAGGATGCTGCAAGGATAGCTCTGTGGGCAGGAAGGCCCCCTGACCCAGAGCTGTAGCGTATGTCCTATTCTGCGGGTGGGGAAAGCCAGAGGGCATATACGCCCCCATTGCTCCTCCTCCAAAGCCTCCTCTCTGGTGCTGGGGTGGGGAGTGGTAGCCCTCTAGGTTGTCATACTGGGACACAGCAGTCATGCTGCTCTGGCGCTTGCCATGTGCTTGGTATTGGAACAGCACACCAGGGTCCCTCTCCATGTTCTGGGTATGATGGAGCTTCAGGCTATGACTCCTCTCCGGTTTAGGGGGTGGGACTGTGGACTGACTGAAGTGTTCCTCCTCCTTGTAGCAGTCTCTGGAGTGTTTTTCTGGGGCAGGAGGCTGCCAAGCCCGAGATCTCTCCAGCTCTTTGGAGAGCCTTGCCTCTTTGTGGTTCAGTCTTAAAGATTCCTGCCCTGGTGTAATATACTTCCCTCCAGAGTTATGGTAGCTGATGGGCTCAGAAGCATCTGGGATCCCTTTGGACCCAAAATCTAACTGGCTGGCTCCCTGGGGGTAAGGTGGCCCATTTTTTGATTCACACAGTTGCCTATGGCTTGCTTCCTGATGTGCCCTGTGCTCAGGTAGACTACAACCCATGTCATGGAGCTTCCTGTTCCTGAGACTGCTCTGCTTCTGCGGGAGGGATGGTTTCTCTGACTGTCCATTGCCATGTCCTCCATGGTGATGGGCTCTATCGAACTCTGGCTCTGGATGCTTCCGATAGAAGCGGTCATCTCCCTCAGGACTGATGGCCTTGGCTGGATGCCGCCCCTCCTTTCCCTCTGCCACTGAGAGAAGTCCAGTTTTCCCAGGATCTGATTTACTGCGTAGATGGATGACATAGATCCCACCCAGGTCGTCCTGCATAGCCGGGGTCATATTATCATACTGGGACATGACAGGCCCTTTCACCTTCTGCCGAGCCCGGCTCTCTCTCCGGATGGACTGCATACGATATTTTTCCATGTCTTCAAAATCCCATGAGGTGTAAGTGTGCTTTACATCAGCAGTTGGAGGAATGTTCACTACATTATGGTCATTACCAGAGAAATAGCCAGTCACGGTGGCCCGGGGACGTGGAGGCAAACCAGCATAACTGTACAAGTTCTTCCCTTGCAGCCGAGGATTGTAGAAAGCAAAGTCACGATTGGGTAACCGGTGAAGGGGCCTCAGCTGTACGGTGCTATAGGCATCCACATCGCAGAGGGCTCCGTCGGGTCCGTAATAGGAACTAGAAGAACTGGAATATGGGCTATACCGATAGTGGACCCGACCATTCTCAAAGTAAGGCTGAAGCTGAGTTACATGATAATCTGAGCGGGCCTGGGAGGACTGATATGGCTTATACTGATACAGGGGTCTTGAGCAGTAGGCTGGTTCATCATCTGGGGGAACTTCTGTCCGTGAAATGGGAACAGAGCGAATCATGGCAGATGGTGGGGCATGGAGAGACTGGACTCTCCGGATGGTAGGATATGGTGGAATATCTTCGGGGTAACAACCACTTCTCATGGACGAGCTCAGAGAAGATACATACTCAACCCGGCTGCACGGCTTGGCATGGTGTCCAGACACATTTCTTCCCGGGGCCACATACGTGTTATATCGAGGACCCACGGAGGCTGGTGGCTCTGATCTGGAACCATACACTTGGTGTTGCTCCAATTTATTGTGATGTGGAGGTACACTCTGGGGACGGAACTGGCAGTTTGGAGTCATATTGAAATGCAAACAGTTTTCTGGACCAAAGTGTTCAGTGGTGACATCAGGCCTAGCGAACGTGGAATAAGTAGTTTTCTGAGACGCATGCTTAGGTTGTGGGACAGGAAGTGGTAAAGGCAAAATATCATCCATGGAGGCTGAAGAAGCAGTGACAAAGGGATGATAACTGGAACTGCTGGTCGCATCTGCAGTGCTGGAGTGTATGGCAGCAGCAACTTTACCCTCCATTGTCCTGGCAGGGGGGACTGGTGCAGGAAAGCCACAGGAAGTGTGCACTGGGACAGACTCAGCACGCAGGTGTAGCAGTGGGGCCCTGGCACCTTCCCACATCTTTTCAGGGAGGCCTGGCTGGAGAGCAGGAGTAGAGACAGGACACTGAGCAGCTGCACCGCCATCGCTCACAAGGACAGGAGCCAGGTCATCCATGGCTCTGGGTTCAGGTGGCCTCTCTGGAACTGGAACTACTCCTTGAACCTATTGAAAGATGGTAATATTATGAGTTTATTTTCTATGCTCCCCTCTACAGAATCAAACTCTACTAAATTTATAACTCACAAACTTAAGCTATTTAGGTAGGAAATTTGAAATTCCTTAAGTCACGTGGTAATGTTGGACAAGACAGTAGGCCACCCTGTCCCCAAGGCCAGAAAACGGCCTATGCTGCTATCTGGTGTCACAGACATTACCATCTTTGGAGAACTGTTCTAATTTATGATAGGTTTGAAGTGTGAGATGAGGTTGCCTGCCATTATCTTAATGTGCAGACCAAAAACAAAGGTTTAGTCAAACAACAGTCAAGCTTAAAAATACATACACAGTCTATCTGTTTAGCTTGGGCTTGACATCAAGAATATTTTGTTAAACAAAAAGGGTGGATTCTACCTGGAGAGATTTTTTAAGTGACTCATAGTTGCACAGAGTTAGCAGTTTAAGCCCCTAAATCTCGGGAAGGGCAATAAAGTGACTTGTCTAAGGTGACATTCAACAGTTACTGCCTCTCCCTGTCTTCTACTCTGGTCTGTGGCAGCAGAGGCCAAACATGATCCTCAAAGCAATGCTGCAAATATGGCATCCTTGAGAAGCAGCTGCTGGAAATAGAGTCCTCTGCTAAACACTAGATATTGAAGTACTTTTAGTTCAAGGTGACCATAAAAGACCTAAAACACTTCTTTTTTTATATGAGAAAGTTAGGAAGAAACTTTAGCACTCTGCATACAACATTCTCTCATCGAAAGAGGTATTTCACCGCAGAACAATCTGCTGGTTAGTGTTGAGAAAATAACAAAAGTCCTAAGACACTGTGATCTCATACTTTTAAAGTCTGCAAGGCAGTCTTATAAATGTCTTGAGACTAAAGTACTTTCAATAGGCAGATATGAATAATTGGCATAGGGTGGTTAAAATGACTTGCCCAAAGTCACGAGTCAGTGATGGAGCTGTGGGTGGGGGGACCAAAAAACCCTGCAACCCTGACACCTAATGCCCAGTTTGACTCATTTGATCATAATCGCTTTGTATTGCTATGAAGAAACTGCCTAGATGCTTTAGGAAGGCAGCAGTTAGCAAGTATAGTTAAAGTACAGTCATTGCATAACTGCTCCTTTCTCAGAGAAAAAACAGCATCAAAGTAAAGGCAGATTTTAACCTCAAATGGGAAATGTTTCATGGAAACCTGTCAGAGGACTTAAAAATAAACGTCGCATCTGACCCAAAGATAACACTCTCTGATGCAAAGTGACATACCTTTGGAAAAAGTGTATTTCATCTCATTGACTTTCCCCCTTCTTACCTTGTGGGAATTATTTAATCCTATATTGGTGGCTGCTTGTACCTGCCCCACCACTGGTAACTGCTCTGCTGATCTCTGGGAAGGAGGTGGGGGAAGCGGGCGATTAGTTCTATGAGGACGCTGAAGGGTGGCGGCAGCAAAATCAGCTGCGGTGCGTTGTTCACCCATATCCCAGCTGGCTTCCCTGGTGCTCATTTCAGCTGTTGCTGGAGCAGTTGTCACGTAAGCCATGGTGGCTGTGCTGCTATTCTCTTCAGGGGACCCAGAAGGAGGGTAGATTTTGTCCCTAGGCAAATTAGATGGTATAGATTTGTCTGCAAGCTCTGAGGGGGGATGGGGCTTATCCGCACTTGCACCAAGATAAGAAGGGGGTTGATCTCCGCTGAAGAAATGAAGCTGAGACTGGTCCTGATCTGCAAAAGAGACAGTCGGCACGACAGTCTTCCTCGACTGGTCTTCAGGGAAACTTATGTGATCGTCAGACTTAGAGTCTATTAAGGGAATGGAAGTGATTCTGGCCTTTTCTGGGTCCCCAGATGAATAGGTTTGATGGGGCTGACTCCCCAGGAAGTCTGCCTGGTGGAGCTGATCCCCAGATTCAGTTGCACTGGAATGTGTGCGATCCCCAGGAGCTGCTGTGTCTGGCATGAGCTGGTCACAGCTCCCAGATGCACTGTTCTGGAGGTGGAATGGCTCTGCAGGCCTGTCAGGTGGAAAGCAGGCTTTATCTTGAGTAACATGGGAGTAAGAACTAGGCAGCTTATCTTCAGTTGCAGCCACTGCTACATCTCCATAATTTGTATAAGCAGCCTGGGAAGTCCCTGGTCTCTTCAAGGACTGAGTTGAGGCTTGTTGTGCAGACTCAGCTAACGCTAGCGCCAACAGGCGGGCAACATTTTTCGGAGGCGGTGGTGGTGGGATAAGAGAGACTGAACTGACAGGAACGGAATCTTGAGGGGGGTCATGGATAACTGCTCCTGGTGGGAAATTGGGAAAAAAAATGAGAGTGAAAAGGTAGCTTGTGTTATCCTATATGGAAAGCCAAATACTCCCCATTTGATCACTAAAAAATAGGTGCCTTCCATATTTCAAAATGGCAATCCACGATCTTCTATCCCACATGCAAATGTTGTAGAAAACACATCTGGTTCAGAGGAAAACTAAAACAAAGAGTGTTTAAGGATTAACATCTCCTCTTGAATTGCTACAGAGATGGGGGGGAAAAGCAGGTCCCTTATCTGGCTCAGAAAAGAATGCTTAGAAAACAAGCTTCAAGTGCTTGCAGATGGTTAAGAATAGTTTTTACAGTTGATGGTGTAGGCTGGCTGGTTAACTTGTAAGGCTATAATATAGATATTTTATTAGCAGAGAAAACAGAATCAAGAGCTACGAAGCTGTGCAAAAAATTATCCATGAATTCTGACTGTCCAAAGAGACAACGGGACTTTATGAAGCTTGGAAGCAGGACCACTGGCCCTTTGGGGCATTCCTTTTTGACTGATTTTAATTTAGGGC